TAAACCTAACCCTAACCCTAACCCTAACCCTAAACGTAACCCTAACCCTAACCCTAAACGTAATGCTAACCCTAAACCTAACCCTAAACCTAACCCTAAATCTAATCCTTACCTTAACTTAAATCGCCCTTCTGCCAACGCGCTGTTGTAAATCGCCCTTCTGTTGACGCGCTGTTGTCGACGTGCTGTTGTTGGCGCGTTGATGACATTGCGGTTTTAGCGACATGGTTTTGTCGGCGCGCTTTTGTCGGGTCACGGTCCAATATCACAAGTCCTGCTAAAGACTAGATTTATCCCAATTCACAATTGGAATTTCCAATATAGAGAATATTTTGCGAGCCAAGTTACCGTTGTGCATGCTAATTTCATTTTAATAATGTGTTTCAATGTCAGATTGATTAAATCGCAAATCAGACTTTCCATCTGAAATCCAACTTGATTTGATGATAAAACATATTTGGGACATTCTACTCTTCAGGAAAGATTAGCTGAGAAAACTTGGTGTTCCGTAGTAATTTAACTCTAAAATTGAATTGGCTGTTGTCAAGCAATAGTATTCATTTGTTATGATTTTCCTTATTCTGTTGATTTAATTTTACTTACTTTTTTAATGTATCCATTTTCTATGAGAATTTAACAAAGTTGGTGGCCAGAAAAATAGAGAGAGTAGGGAAGGATAAAAATTATCCATCCCAAAGTTTTTTAATCCAGATGAATTATGTTCATTTGAAGTGGTTGATAAAAACAATACATATCAGAATAACTGCTGGAGGTATTAGTTGGAATAGGACAAAGGTTGAAATAAAAGAAACAGTCATACTTTTGCATTAGTAAGCTATTTTGCAAGGAACAAAGGATAAGCATTTCATATCCAGCTGCATACTATGCTAGGCAGATTGCACAATTGAATTTGTCCATCTGACAGCTCAATTTGGATCAATCTAACATGGTTGGATTGATTGATTTTTGAGACTGGTTTTTAGAAAAGATGTCGCACAGCACAAAGTTTTTACTGAATGATCAAATCTAGTCGGAGGCAAATGATTTCATATGAAAAGTCTTATTTGAATGTAGATTCAACTAAATGTATTTTGAAACAAATTGATAAAACGAACTTATGCACAGCCATATCAAGTACATAATACATTTAAATACATGGACAATCTTTTATTATAGTCATTCTGATTTCAAGGAGCACTACAGCACTTTCAAAGATGGGAAATCGTAACAGGGAATGTATTTCAGGCAGCTTATCTAAAATATAGTGTTTTTTTAGAAAATGCAGTTCCATTATTAAGGGATATTAAGGGTGCAGTTTTAAATTCCATTTCTAGGAGTTGAACTCCATTTAACACAATGGGATTTATTAAGGTTTTTTTTCATGCATTACAGTAACTGCAATCCCTGCATTCTTTTACCTTTTTTTATTTTCACTTACTTTGCAATTACTTTCTTTCAAACTTAGGTTTGGTCTTGGAGGCAGTTTCAGATTTTTGTGCATTTTTTTCTTCTGCTTTTTAAGCTGTTAACTTTATGATCGTACATGATTATTATATGTACATAAATATATGGGTTTCTTCTGGGGTTTTTTCCCCCCTGTGGTTCTAGCTTTACACCCAGCTTACCTTACACTGCTCTGGCATGCAATTGTAAGCAGATTCACTCTGCAGACTTTCTAATGGATCTTTATCTATATTTCTATAAAGGTTTGGCTATGCAGTCCCATCTCTCGTTTCTGGGTTACTGTGCTAACTTTCTTTCTGAATCCCCCCACCCAGAATACTGTGTTGTGCATGGAATGCCGAGTTGAGCCTGGTGTTCATTTTTTATGATTTTTTGATCTTGCAAAATGTTGGTACAATGTTTAAATTGTTATTCTTTAGCAAAGTTATTTGACTTAAAGGGTGGGGAGGAAACATATGCCTCCAATTGTTATATGCCCCCTCCCGTTTGATTTTTTCCCCTCACAGTTCTATTAAAGAAGAAAACACAGATAATGAGCAGGAGAAAAAAGATGAAAAGGGCATTTCTGAAAGAGAAAACAATGACCTAGAAGCAGTAAGTATTGTGGTAATACATCTTGTCATGTATTAATAATGAGGCTTGTTTTCTGTAGGAGCCTGTATTAAAGCAGACAAAGAAAATACAATTTCTATCTTGTAATCATGTTTTTAACAGAAATGAGTAAGAGAAAGGACGTACATGTAAATAAAGGACTGTGAGACGTATTATTTTCTTCATACTTTAGTTTAATATTGAGAGGCTGGGCATATAATTTGTTCTGGGATCAAATTAAAGTTATACTTAAAATGATGAAACAGTGAAGGTTAGGGTTAGGGCATATAATCTGTGCATATAATTTGTTCTGGGATTAAATTAAAATTATACTTAAAATAAGGAAACAGTGAAGGAGTTCCTGTTTTTGGTTCTTTTTTATTCTTATAGGAAGATGGGCGTGAACAAAGCGATAATGAGGATGACGACGAAGAAGATGATGATGATGAAGATTTGGAGGTGGTTGAAAGTTCAGATGAATCAGATTCTGATTCTGATGAAAAAGGTAAGCCAGACAGAGAGCTACTTAATGTGTTGTTATCTCCTTTGAACTAAATAGGTATTTTAAAATTAAGACAAGCAAAATTAAGAGATCACACTTAATATGTATTTCGTGAAGAGTTCATGATTAGATGATATATTATGACCAATAAATCCCTATGGTTATAAAGATTTCAATGAGACATTAGAAGCTTTTTAAATATCATGTTTCCCTGAAAATAAGACCTCCCTGGATAATAAGCCCAATCAGGGTTTTAGCGCATGTGTTAAAATAAGCCCTCCCCGAAAATATTGCAACACAGCAGCAGCCACAACGTGATCCCACTCACCGCCTCCTGCACCTCAAAAATAATAAGACCTCCCTGAAAACAAGTCCAAGCGCTTATTTCGGGGGTCAAAAGAAAATAAGATCCTGTGTTATTTTCGGGAAAACATGGTAGGTTTTCTGCTTTTAAGTTAACCATCAGTTTACTTTTGGATTTCAGATTTATAATACAAATATAAAAAAATTAATGTATTTTGAAAAGAACGAACATTCAACTTTAAAACGATAGGCTTATTTTTAAGCAGTAGGTCATTCATACGTTGTGCCCCCCAGATGAAGATTTCTTAGTTGTGAGCATGAACTTTAATTGCAGCTTTATTATTAAAAATGTATACTAAAAATAAATTTGGCTAATGAATAAGTAACAAGGACTATTACGAGAAATCAAGCTTTAATGCAAGAGCCATCAGTTCTTCTATTAAAGGACTATAATATGGATAGTCTAATTGAGGAAAAAGAAGGTAATGTAAATATATTGGAAATCTTTAATGTAGATATACCAACAGTTTGGGGCACCAAACAAATCTGAATTTCAGATCAAGGTTCTATTTAAATAGCTAGCTTTTGAGTACCATAATGCCTCACATCTTTTTATTGATTTTAATTTCTTTTTTTTTCTGTATTAATTTTTATTTTAAACACATAAGCACATCAACAGAAACAAACACATGACTTAAAAACAACATAGGAACAATAAGTTCCATCGTATATCATACAGCAGTTCCGAATCGGTTTCTTTGCAGTTAGTGTTTTCCCTTCTATACATTTCTATTCTTGCGTTCGTAATCTCCTTATTCGTTATCCATTTTTATGTACAATTCTTTTATTTATTTATACTTAGCTACTTATGACCTTAATAATAATTAATAATTTCCTTATTTATAGTGAATTATCAGGCAGATTTAGCAAATATTACATGTGAAATTGCCATAAAACAGAAGCTCATTGACGAACTAGAAAATAGCCAACGAAGGCTTCAGACTTTGAAAAGGCAGTATGAAGAAAAGCTAATGATGTTGCAGCATAAAATTCGAGATACACAGCTTGAAAGAGACCAGGTGCTTCAGAATATGGGTAAGACAATTTCCACTCACCAAATAATTGGATTAGGAGAGTATTAATTTTTTAAAGTTTATTGTTGGTGAAAGCAGCAACATAAGAGGTCTACATAAAAATATCCAATGTGGTTGTCATATTTGTGGAGACCAGCTCATGAAACAGACATTCTAAAAACTACTGAAACTGATTTTGTTGTTAATAACAGAGTCTTGAAAGCCTTATATAAATGATCTCTCTCTCTCACTCCTATCTATATATATAAAAATGGCTGTGTGTGTGTGTGTGTGTGTGTGTGTGTGTGTGTGTCCATGTGTGTATGTTCCAGCATAACTCTGGAATGCCTGGGTCGCTGAAATGAAAGAACTGAATTATATTTATAGTGTCAAGTCACAGTACCTTTGACAATGATAGTGTGCATTTTGGATTCAAGTTCGGTTCAGATTCAGCCTGTTGTGCCTTAAAGTGGCTTCTACTGTACAGCACAGTGGAGTTGCCATGGTAACACCTTCACAGTACACCACAAGGGAGCTCCCTCTAATACAGGATTGGGATAAGTACATACCTGGGCAATGCCGGGTTATCAGCTGGTACCAAATAGAATTGAGGTGGTGCAATCTTGGGTTTCTTTCTCACTCTTTCCTGCTTTCCCATGCTTAGTTGGTGCTTATGCAGTAGATAATGCAGAGCCATTTCTGTACTTCTCTACAGGAGTGGGATAAGTATTCATGATGAGCTGCAATCATTGGGAGGGATTACCACCTCCTTTTGCACATCTGAGCAACAAGAGACATTCTACATTAGGGAGGAAAACCTGTAGCAAAAGCTGGAAGTTTGCTTATTCCTTCAACAATTGATATGGCCACTCATCTTGCTATTGTAGGTCGGTAACATTAAATAGAATTTTAAAAACCCACAACCTAAATAATTAGGAATAATTACAGTCATAATCAATATATAATATGCCAGAGATCCAGTAACCATTTTGTCTGTAACCAACAGACAAATAACAAGCAACATTTGGGTTTTCACCCTCTAATGATCCATCATTTAGCTTTGGTGGTGCAGTGGTTAGAGTGCAGTACTGCAGGCTATTTCTACTGCCTGTTGACTACCTGCAGTTTGGTAGTTCACATCCCACCAGGCTCAAGGTTGACTCAGCCTTCCATCCTTCTGAGGTGGGTAAAATGAGGATCCAAGTTGTTCGGGGCAACAGGCTGATTCTGTAAACCACTTAGAGAGGGCTATAAAGCACTGTAAAGCGGTATATACGTCTAAGTGCTATTGCTATTGCTATCATTGCCTCCCCAAGTTTTCATGGGCAGATAGAAATTTGGAATATTTTAAAAAGGCAGCCAGTACTGAAAACCAACTCCTAACTTGCATGATTTTTCCTAACCAGTTGTTTTGCACAATCATTGTTGCTGTGCATCTCAAATATTTTACCAAGATTTTGCAGAAAGACATTCTTTTTTTAGTGGCAACACACCAACTCTTAAATTTACCTTTGTCAATAGCAGCAATAGTAAAACTGCTCCATGTTTGTGGCACAGGTGGCATGTGATATTCCTTTAAATTTGTTAAATGTGCATTATTTATTATTCTGTTCCTGGATCAAGAGTTGCTTTTTAGAGTTGGTGAATAATGATGTGCTTTTTCTTATGTTGCATTGGGCTCAAATTACTTGGCGAGCAAAATAATTGTTAATAATGTAAAGATTCTTCTCATGAGCTCTAGCTGAAAGCCTTGTTGCAATGATCAATATAATACTGGGGACAGATGAGAAATTTTTTTTCATGCTCTTCTCCTACTATGTCAACCAACTGGTTTATCAAAATGGAGGCCCATGATGCAAGAGGTACAAAGGTCTCTTGCTTTTCCTCCCCCCCCCCTTATAAAAAAAATCTAGTAAAGAAAGTACCATATTTTTCAGGGTATAAAACGCCCCCCCCCCAAAAAAAAAGTGTGTGGAAATGGTGCGTCTTATACACCGAATACAGCCATTTGTGGCCTCCTGAAGCCCCACCCACACATCCCATTTTTGCGAAAAATGGGTGAAAAACAGACCCTTTTCTGCAAAAATTGAGGCGTTTTTGCCTTCCCCCAGCCTCCAGCAGCACTCTTCAGGCTTCAGCAGGGCTGGGGGAAGGCAAAAAC